TTATTATTTCTTGCTGGACAGTACTCTTCTTTTTTATCTTTCCCTTTTTACACCTTCGTAAACATTTTTTTTCTTATGTTTTTAAATCTCTGCATCTATTAACCCGCCATTTGTTTCTCTTTTCTGCTTTCTTCGTTATAAATCCTTTTCTTATTGCTGCTTTTTCAGTTGTTGTTTTTAATTCTTCTATTTTATTTTAGCTTACTTCTTTTGAATTCAATTTCCAACATCTTTTATAATGCTCAGTTCCCTTCTCCTTTTTATCTACTTCCTTATTTGTGACTCCGACTTTTCTACTTCTATCCCTCAATTTTACTTCTTATAGCATGTGGTCGGAATCAATTCTTTCTCCTAATTTAAATGTTTCGGCTTCTTCATCAGCTACTGGGTTACATATACAGGTAAATTCTTTATCTTCATCCCCCTCCTTCACCCCATTCAAGACTACCAAACTCTTTCTTCAATTAATTTCCATAGAAATTTTCTGTCTTTATTTAAAATTTTATCTTTAGATTTTTCTGTGCGTTCTCCGCTATATTCCCTGCTTTTGTTGCCTATTTTGGCGTTAAAACCATCTCCTATCAGAAGAAATTCTTCGTTAGACTCATCAATTTTTTCTTAAATTTTTTTCTTCAAATTTTTTTTAATTCCAATGCAATACAATATGCAAATTCTTTTTTTCTTTTATCTTTCTTTCCACTATGCGTTCCACTTCTCTTACCCGCTCTTCGATTTGTTTTATATCTTTTGTCACCCCTGTTATGGATCCCCCACTTGCTTCACCCTCAACTTTTCCTTTTTCCTTGTTCAATTTATTCCCCTTACTCTTTAGTATCCATGTTTCTGTTAATCACACAAAATCAAAATTTTATGTACTCATTAAATAAATTCTGTTTATTTTTCTTAATAATGCAATATTTCAAACAAGCAATTTTAAACCCCATTTGTCCTCCCCGCTTTTCTTTTCCATTCCCTCTCTATTTTTTTTTATAATTACCACCCCTTCTCTTTATGCTTCCTTGCTCAGTTAATTCCAACTCTCTTTGTAAAATTTTTCATCCAAATTTCCCTGTCTTCATTCCATGTCCTCAACTTTCCGCTTCTTACATTCTATACTCTCTAACTTCTTTCTGAATTTTTGGCTCTTCTACTGTCCAATTGTTTTCAGTTGCTTTATATTTTCTTTAATTTTAGATAAATTTCCAACGTTCTTCTGGAAATTACTACCTTCAAACAACTTCTCGTATTTATATAAAACCTAGTCATAATATTAGCTTTGTTAAGTAAATCATCTATGCAACCAACTTTTATACTTAACAATCTTTTCTCAAACCAAAATTGTTAAAATTACTGTTAAAAGATGTCACTGGATGTGCGTGAGTCCAAATGTTACGTTGAATGTGTGAGTCACTTCGGCCTCAAAAGCTACGGCGAGGCCGAAACTTCCAATTTGAGCCCAAAAGTATATATACGTGAGAGAATTTGAGGTCGAAAGTTATCATTAACATATATATAAATATATAAATATCCTCAGAAAAATGTCAGGTCTTTTTTTAAAATCAACCTATCAGAACCTTAGGTAGGTATTAGAAAGTAAAGGAAAAATAGCAGCAAGTCCTGAATGAGGTATAAAATAAAAGCGTTTAGGAATGTTGAAATGTTACAATTTTCTTAATACCAACCTTGAATACAGTTTCGTGTAGACGTTATGTAAATAACCATTTTTTTTCACTTCTTTATCCATTTATCCCCTACCAAAAAGTCGATGAAGTCATCTCAAAATTTTGCAGAACAAATCTAATCTAGACTATGCAAAATATTATGCGTCTATACTTGTGGTTTATCAGTACATTAATATTGTTTGAAAATACTGTTATGTCGTACGAGCGAATAAAAATTGGCATAGATAAAACTCAACAATTTTATTTCTTAATAACTCGAATTTACACGACTAACTATTGCAACGATTATGTACAGAAATTATTCCGGCGAATTTCACTGGACGCTCTTGACTCAACAAGCTGAATCATCCGTTCCCGACGATCGCCTCTATTTAAACCCATTTATTTCCTTCGAGAAGTCGGCGATCGGGAGCTTTCTGGATTGGCCTTCGCAACTTCCGTTTCCAGGCTTTTCTTTAGTGCTCCACCGGCCGCTGTTGAGTCATCTCCGTATATACCAGAATAAACACACACATACTAGAAGAACTATAGGCGGCATACGGGAGCGGCGTATGGGTTTCTTTCGTAACAGTACTCAAAAAAATATAAGAAGCAAAGGCAATCAATTTTATTGATGAAATTTTCCGAAAATTTGAGTAAACAGTACTATTATTGCACCTATTCAAATTGATATACGTGTCCTTGCTAAACTGTTCATGACGTCATCACAAAACAAAAAACTCATATGCTTGTTTTCTTTTTAATGACTATATTACACATATTGTTTATCATCTAGTTGACAATAATTCTGATTAGAATAATTGAATATTCAACAGGTCCTTTAACTCAACAAAATCAAGTTGAAAAGGTATATTATAACTAATTTTATGCAGTTTTAATGAATTTGCAGTAATAAAAATTCTCATAATAATGCTATTAGTATTATAATAGTGTTATAATTTTTATTTAACCTCGAGGTTAACAGAAATCGATTGTTGACCCAAATAGGAATTACAGAAATTTCGGCGAATATCAAACCCCGAAATACATTTAATCGGGTTCTTTGGAAAACAAAAAAGATCCTAGGAATAATTAATTGAATCACTTTATTTTTGTATTTTTTATTATTTCTCACGTTCCCTAGTTTCAAGTGATCCTTAAGTTTTTGTCAAATGTGGTTTAAATAAGATAGGAGTACTTACGGCGTAATTTATGAGAACCCGAAGTTACGTCATATTTGCCGCAAAATTTTGATGGAACTTAGCATTGTCGTAGCAATAGCACCCACTGCACATAATTAGACTTTCCCTTAGATATATTCCGCCCTTTAGTAAAATTCATTTGGATATAATCTTAGCAAAATTGACTGAGAACTAACACTTGTGAAATAAACATTTTAAACAAAATTATTTGTGCATAATTTTCAAGCAAACTTCAAAACTTCTGCAATTTCCATTCTTAAAACCACTGTAGTGTTACTCAAAGAGAACTATATAATTAAAAAAAAATCGTCTAAAGACCTCCCTCCTTAAACACAGTCGAACAAATAGAGCTTCTTGGAAAAGAACTTAATTTTGCGAACTTAATTTTTTTATGATAACCTCTACAACTTAAAATAAAGATATGTGCGTAGTGTTAAATTACATGTAAAAACCAGGCTATGTATATGTTTCATCAATATTCTAGCATGGGTACATATCAATTTGAATAGACGAAGTGCAATACGAATACCTAATAACAGTGCTGTAAACTCAAACTGATTTGATCAATATGGTAGATTGATTAATTTTTTGGAGTCACCTGTGTAAAGTATAGAAACTATGAATGGATTGGAATTATATTTTATTTGTTCCTCACTTGTAAACATCAATTTACCAAGTCACTGTATTCAACATGAAAATGTCACTTAACTGGCTATAGGCTGTAAAATTTTTACAGGCTATAGCCAGTTAAGTGACATTTTCATGTTGTTCGTGCTCATACAGCCATGAATATAAAGCCTAACATTTTTGTGACATAGTCGGTAACATGTTGAATATGTGGCACAAACGTTAAATGAGAGTCTATAATGACTCTTAGATCCTTAATTTGATCGCCGTTGTTCCGTTTATTTTATAATCATCTTGTCGAGGTCGAACGAGAAAATGCCACAACTTTACTTTGATCAATTTTTTGACGGTTTTGATCACACCAGGCACCAAAAATATCTAAATCACTTTGTAAAAGAATACAATCCTCAATAGAATTTACAGTTAGCAATTTTAAAATCATCAGCATACACAAATATGGGGCAATTTAATAGTAATAGTAATAGTAATAGTACTTTATTATTCAACGGGACCATGCCCAGTTACAGAATAATATTAAAAATAATATATATAAACATTTAGCTGTGAAAGTGCAACATTAAAATATATAATAAACAGTATTGGACCTAAATTCGAACCTTGTGTTACTCCACTGAATGAAAAATATTTTACATATTTTAGATAGTAAGTACTAAAGTACTAAAATTTTGATTATGTGTTATTTATTATTCCATCTGATCAGAGTTACAACTGTTAGTTGGTTATTTTTAGTTATCAGCAACATTGTAAATATTCTAGAAACAAAACGAAATATTTATACTATATCTATTATTTGTATCTCATTTCTGCGCATTTTTAAACACAGGATCACTCGATTGATTTGTCTTAAATTAAAATTAAACAATAATAAAAGCCAGACTTGTTAAATTTTAACTAAGCATGCGATTGTGCATCAAAGCAGAGCTAAGATAAAAGGACCCTACCTAATATGAATATACAAAGTGTATACAAATTATTCATTCAAGGCAATACGTCTATAAAACTGTTAGGTTGGATTTATACCAAGATGAAGCCACTATCAGCATTTTGCGAGTTATTTAAATTTTGATTATAAAAAAAAATAAAACCGTATGTAAAAACATATTTTCTTTCACGCGGCAAAATTCTTTAATTTACAAAAATTAAAATTTTCCAACGAGTGCTGCATATATGAATCACTTGTAAACAGAGTGTATAAAAAGATAGAAAACTCTGCCATGTATTGTAAACAAAATTTTTGTTATTAATTACATATATTAAAAAATATTTCATCAATATTATGAAATCATCTTACCATTTTAGTGACCAAAGAACGACGTTAAAAAAAATCAGTTTTTAATTAATTATTCTCTTTCCTCTTTGAAATTAGTTATGGAGCGAACGTCATTATGAAATTCAGATAATAACATACGTAATTCTGCTATGAGATTGCAATGTTATATAAAAAATGCCGTCTAAATAATTATGTACTAATTCTATAATTTTATTTCAGGTGCTTTATATGACATAACACTATCGTATAATCCTGGATTCTTTCTGGCGGGGATCACTATATCGCTCAGTGGAGTTATATTGTTTCTAATTCCTTTAATTTATCGCCATCGAGAAAGACATCGACCGAAAAATCCTACAAATATATAGCAATTACTGTTGCCCTCACGTAATGAGGGAAATTTTAGAGACTACTGTACCATTTAAATCGCCCCAAAACATTGTCATAAAAATATCAGTTTTGCAGAAACTGTTGTAACTGTATGGGTATTATATCATCTGCAATGCAGATCGTTATATCTGTACGTATAAAATGTGAAGATGTAAGAAATAAATTTATTTAATTTGTTTATTTTTCTACCAAAACGTGTATAATACCAATTTCCCTGTTCCACTGGAATTTCTCCAGTTATTTTGAAAATTTAGTAGTCTGAAATTTAGAATGATTCATTAAAATAGCCTCATAATTCCTTAGATTATATAATAAATTATTATGTATCTGATCTAAGCATAATTTCCGTTTGACGCATTGAAAACCATTTATAATCTGTCACATTACGGCACGATTTTCATAAAGGCGCCATGGCGACGAGGTGGAATTCCTCAAGAATTAGCGTTATCTCTTGTGTTTCTTAAGAATAAAGTAGGGCAGGTAGTTATTTTGTACTATAGTTTCTAGTTATATAAAATACACAATTTGAGTTTCCAGTAATTCCAGAGTTGGCGGTTTTGGTGGTAGATTCGCTTCTTGTAGAATTAAAAGTAGTTCTAATCAGTGATCTAACTCCAACTGATGATTCAACTATTTCTTTAATTCTTACCGATGATCCAAGTATTCGAGCAACTTTCTTTTTATTTTTTATAGAATCTGCCATATATCCTTCTGCAACAGTATCACTTTTCCAGACGCTGTGTCTTTTTAAAGTCCTAATATCGGCACCACTATCCGCAAGAATTGTAACGAACGTCCTGCGGAACGAGTGCCCCTTGTATTCGTTAGCATTAGGTAGCTTCAAGTGTCCTTCAATTTTTCTCGGAATTTGTCCAAATGTGTTGATTCCTACGGGATTTCAGGTGCATTTATTGTTGTTACAATACAAAAAAAAAACTTTTAAATTTTAACATGTTTTAACTCTTTCAGGTACAGTGGGCGAAGAATTAAACCACTTTTTTTTAACCCATTAGGTACAATGGTACACAAATTGTACCACACTTTTGAAATGAATTTGTGAATCTCTACATAGGTTCAAAAAGCGTCCCACTTGCGCAAACCATACGTTTACGCTGTAAATTCAAATTGGCGCGCAATCCGTTATTGTTTTCACGTTTATTCTTGTTTCAATAAATGCAGATTATACCGATGCACACGCAGTGATTTTCTCTCACTTTATTGCTAAAATTTATTGGTTTTTATCGAACAATCTTGTCCTAGCAGTGGTGAATTTTATTCAGACACATCGTATTGAGGTAATCTGATTAGAATTTGTTGAGTTATTTGTCTTAAAATGTATTTTTTGTTTGCAAAATTTTAGTGTTTATTATTTGTACCACAGTACAATAGTGAACACAAGAACAGCTTTGCCCTTCAATTTGGTGGGGATGACAGAAGATGAATTTTTTGTAGAAGTGGAATCTAGTTATATCGAATGTACTTCTATTCCCTCCGATATTGATTCAGATAACGATAGTGATGCGGAAGAAGAAATCGATGAAGTTATAGCTGACAATAATGAATATGTGTTGTCTGCTACAGATGATGAAGATGATAATTGGGATGAAGAGGATTTAATTCCCTTATCTCGGTTTGCTAATTCAACAAATATAATATACATTTCTTGGGGCAAAAATTTAACCAATATTCAACCACCACCTCTATTTACTGAACCTTGCGGTCTACCACAATTTATTCTTGATGTGGCTGAACCAACACCATTTGATTTTTTTAATTTATTAGTAACTAATGATATTCTTGGTCACCTCGTATTTCAAACTAATTTATACGCAGAACAAGAGTTCCAATCTACCGGAAAGACATGTAAAAAAACTGATATAAATGAAGTGAAAACATTTTTGGGAATTAATCTTCTGATGGGCATCAAAAAATATTCGAGTTATAGAGATCACTGGAGTACATTACCAGATCTTCATGATCCCTACATCAGTAAACTAATGCCATTGCACAGGTTTGGTTGGATTCTATCCCACCTTCATTTAAATGATAATTCTGTAATGCCAAGGCGAGATACTGACAATTTTGATAAGCTGTACAAAGTACGACCATTTTTGGAGTCTCTAAAGATTAATTTTAAGAAATGTCTGCACCTTCATCAAAATGTGGCTGTCGACGAAGGCATGATTAAGTTCAAAGGGAGAAGTTCTATTAAACAGTATATGCCTAAAAAGCCAGTGAAGAGGAGCTACAAGGTTTGGATGTTAGCGGACCAAACAGGCTATTGTTGGAATTTAAAATCTACACAGGTAAAAGTGGAAACGATGTGGAAAAAAAATTAGGTGCTCGCGTAATTAAATCATTATGCTCTGAAATTACAAACAAAAATCATAACCTGTATTTTGACAATTATTTCTCTTCGGTTCCTCTGATGCAGGATTTACGGAATCTTCACATATATGCTTGTGCTACGGTAAATTCCACCAGAAAATATTTACCTACATTTAAATGTGACAAAGAGTTACGTCGTGGAGATCATCAATGGTTTACTAGTAACACGAATTTAGCTGCAGTGAAATGGCGAGATAAAAGATCAGTACATTTACTGTCTAATTATCATAATCCTGAAGTTAGTACTGAAGTCAAAAGAAAAGAAAAAGATGGACGCTTCGTACAAGTTCCCTGTCCTGTAATGTTGACAGATTACAATAAAAACATGAATTTTGTAGACAAATTTGACCAAATGCGTACTTGCTATGGTATTAATCGAAAAAGTCACAAATGGTGGCACAGGATTTTTTTCTTCTTTATCGACGCGGCAGTAGTAAATGCTTTTTTTTATACTGTTCAAATTGCGAGGTATTGACACAAAGATGACTATGAAAAACTTTAGAAGAAAGATTATTGAAGGTTGGCTACGGCCAACACTCTTGTGAAAAAGATGTCTTTGCCGGTAGAGCTGTCCATTCCAATAAAAAAACATAAACCCCTTGTTTCTGAGAATATAAGACTAACGGAAAGCACTCACCAACCAACACGTACTACAAGAAGACGATGTGCATTCTGCAGTACGAAAGTTAAAGATACAAGAACTAACTGGAAATGCAGTGTTTGTAACGTACCACTATGTTTGGGAAAATCCAAGCATTGTTTCCAATCATATCACAGAAAATAATGTTATAGTCATAAGCGTATGGTGGTACAAAAGTGATACCACCCTATAACGTCTTTACCATTAGGGCATTAACCAAAAAGAGTGTTTTTACCTTATATTTTGTGTATTAACAGGAATACGTAATAGTTTATAAAGTTTTTTTTAATAAAAAAATTTCTTGTACCTCTAGGGTTTATTTCTTAGCAAAATTCTCGTACCTGAAAGAGTTTTAATCAAGGCAACTCCTCCAGTTTCATTAAAAGTGGTGCAAATTCTTGGTCGATGTGTTTTGGTATCTTTAATGTGAACAACTACAACCGAACCTTTCTCTTTTAACATCGTCTATACACATTACTAGAGCTGTGCGGTCGAAATTTATTTACCCCCACTATCGGCCCACAGTGCCGATCGCCTTGCTCGCTTCTCGCTTTTCAGTTGTGGATTATTTTTGATAATTCACACAAATAGTTTTATTGTCAACGAGACGGACACCTGAACATTATTAAAATTATTATTACTCTTATTTCGTGAATATGGATTTTAAAATCATCAACTGACATGCCGTTAACATTATTTTTCGCGTAATTTTCTTCGCGATACATAACGTCGGTTGCAAGCCTCTGGCCTGCCGGAGTGGGGGTCAATTCGCAGCGTTTAAATTTCAACCGCACAGCTCTAGGTGACAAGTTATGGAATTCTACTCTTCTGCAGGCCCCAAACAAACCAAAAATGGCAACCACCTACAACGATATTAGTTTTATGACAGCTACTTTGGCACATTGAAATCCTACTTTCACAAGCAAATACTTTTCATTTAGTACATTTGTCAAAAACTCTATTAATTGCTGTTTTGAAAATACTTTTGACTTTTCTGGTATATAACCAATTGAGCTACTCTTTACTCTTCAGGAACTCAATCAGTTTTGGTAAACTGCCATGTCTACATTATTTTTTATTCGCAGCATACACTTTCGCTTTGAATAAGCCCACCATAATGATGAAGCTTTGTATATCTTCGACTACGTATATAATAAAAGAAAACAAAATTATTATTATCAGCGTATTTAATTACCTACTGTTTCGTAATACCTAATCCAAAAAGTAGGGAAGTAGTACTTGTTCCGTCACAGTCTCCACTTTTTGCTGTTTTAACCAAAATGAAAATTTTTCAAATTCTTTGGCGTACATAGTTTCGAATTTTCTTGGAATTAAACTTTGCTCAGCTTCCGCAACCTTTCGGCTAATTTCATTGTACGATGATGAAGATGATGTGAGGTCTCAGGAGAAAATATTTTTCACAATTTTTTGAGACTATTGAATTGTTTGAAAAAACTCCATAGCAACAGCAAAAAGCAAGCTTTTGTACTTTTATTCAGGTGAAAGTATGATTTTCAGAAATTAAAACTGATGGTCTATGACCCCTACTTTGACCACAAAATGAAATATGATATTCATTTATAATACAGGATTATGGCACTCATGAAATTATCGCATTCGCTTCGCTCATCCGCTAAACTTTCATTCGTGCCATAATCCGTTGCATTATAAACTAGTATCATATAACATACTACATATTATCTGCTAGCATAAATAATTAAAAAAAAAACTTTGTGATGAATTATTTTTTAAAGCAAAAAATCCGAGTTGGCTATCTATTAGTCGTTTCTGTAGTTGCATATTATTTATTTTACCAAAAATCACACGTTATCTATGAATCACACAGGCGCAGTCATTTAAGCTTTTAGGTGTGACAATTTGTGTTAATCATGTTAATTTTATAAATTTAGAAACAAAGGTGAGTTATTAACTCTCAAGTTTACCTTCTGATGGTGGAAATTATAGGACTTTCCCGGCAAAAATCACTATGAAGTATAGTGTATTAGCAAAAATGTGAAAAGTATTACACACCTACGAGAACGTTTTGCTGACATATTTTCAACAGTTATTCAAAAATAGAAAAGCTTCTTGTATGTGGTCGTATTAGTGGATGTTACGAAGAGATTTGTCTGTCCATCAAGAAGTTCAATATTAGCAAACACATACAGCTGGTTGCATTTCTGAAACGCACGTCTAACGGATATGGGCCTAAAAAGTCCAAAATATCTACCTAACAGAATATTCAAAATTTATATTAGCAGTAGAAGATAAAACGTTTTTAATAATAAATGTAGGAAAACTCAGCTTAAATACATATTTTTTTCAAACTGAATTATATTACCAAATCCAAAAACTAAAATTGCCCTTGAATTTTCGTTACATCATTGCAGGGCTAAATTTGGTACAACTTGTTCGAAAATATATTGTACTGCGTCCAATCCAAACTGAAGATGCTCGGGTTTAAGTCTCATTAGAAATAACAAATGTACGAAACAACCAATTGGAATACACACTTTTAAGATTATGCAAAAAATGATGGCTAGTTTTTTGAAATTTATTAATCCAGAGGAATATGCTGAACATTGTTTCAGGAGGTCTTCTGTCTGCTTGTTGGCGCGGATCTTCTTCTTGCAGCTAAGCGTCATTGGCAGAGGGATACAACGAAAATTCCATCAAAAGTTCAAAATATACAAAATAATGCACAAGTTAATGAAAGTAATGTAACTGTTTCGATACCGCCGCAAGCCTCTAATAATATCAGGTTATTGCATTGTAAAAATTGTATTGTTAATGTTTACCGATCTAAGTTTGTGTTTCCGTGATTTTTGAATAAAATTGTCTTACGATTAATTAGAGGGCTATATATTATGGTACTCAGTCCCATAATGATTTGTATAAAGTCAGTATAACTTTAGCGTCATAGCATCTTTGGTTTTCCCAAAATGAACAACTTCTTGTTTCAAACAGAATATAATACTCCTATAATTTTAGATAGCTTAAATAAATTACTTTTTTCGATTGTGTAATTCTTGATATTGAATCTGTTTAATAAAATGCATTATAAATATTTTTTGCATTTTATAAAGTATATGCTACTTTACGCCATAGCAGCAAAATCTAATTTTATATTTTTTTTTAAAAAAGCGGAATTCGTTGAGCTTGTACTTCAGGAGCGAGTAAAGTTCGGTGGAAATAAACTTCTATCAATTTTTATTTCCCGAGCGTAAACAAAGGAAGTATTGTAATCGAGTCCGTCGACCGACTCTCTACTTTTACATTTTCTCGATCTTTCATGACCCCTAGAAGACGAAGAAATAGGTCTCCCGTTTCCGTCTGTCTGTCCGTCTGTCTGCCGTCCCGGATTTTTATTAGACAGATAATCTCCGAAAGTACTGGGCCGATTGTTGTCAAATTTCGTATTTATATTAGGTATATCATATAGATGGTAAAACACTAACCAAAGTTTGTCTAATCATCCCCACCACTAACGTGATGACGTCACTTCAAAATTGTACATAATAATTGGGTTTTAAATTGTATCAAATAGCATAGTCTTAGACATGTAGATTATGACTCCGAATTGAGATTTTACCCGAAACGTCCAGATTTTCGGAAAAAAAATTAGGAAACAACATTCTGGCATTTAATTTGGAATCTACAAAACCGAATGCTTTGAAATCTTGCAGATGGTTTACAGTTATGATAAGCATGATATAATTTTAATCACAATATATTTAGTTATCCCCTCCAAAAAATTGAGGACGTCACCCCAAAATTTTGCTGAATAAATCCTATCTAAAATGTACAAAATATGATGAGTCTCTTCTTGTGATTTATCATTCCATTCATATTTTTTGGATATGCATATACAGGGTAACCCAAAAAAATTATTGAATGCGTGAATTGATTTTATTGATTTAATCAGCAACTACAGAACCGAATGCTTTGAGATTTTGCAAATGTTTTAAGGTTATAAAGAGCATAATACATTTTTAGTCAAAATATATTTGCTTATCTCCTCCAAAAAATTGATGACGTCACCTCAAAAGTTTGCCGAATAATCCTATCTAAAATGTACAAAATATGATGAGTCTCTTCTTGTAATTTGTCATTCCATTCATATTTTTTGGATTTGGATATACAGGGTGAAATTTAATGAATGCGCAAATTTATTTTATTGATTTAATCAAGAACTACAAAACCGAATGCTTTGAAATCTAATACGAAAAAAAACATAATAGTCGTCACGTTGCCGACAGCGAGGGAAGTACTGTCTAAACTCTTTAGACCAATTTTTTGCTTCGTAACTGTCATTCTAACCTTCGAGTAATGCGAGGAGCTTCTTGTATATGTCCACATTCTCGTTAATCTGAACCATACACTGCAGCATTGATCACCTACATCGACCAAGACTTGAATCTTTCAGAGAATACATTTAATAAAAACTGTAAACTTTGTTCTTATAACACGACTCTGTTCTAAATTTCCAAATTAGATTAAAATTTTTAAAAACCTACTTTTTCCTAAAAAATCCAATGTTATAGTGTTAACAGCTCCTATTACATTATTGGATTGATTAATATGCATTTTGTGCGTAGGTCTTTTATTACTATTATTATTAATTGTGCTTTGAGCTGAGGCTTTTACAGCCTATTAAACTCACGGAATATATATCAGAAAGACTTTAAATTATGTATGTAGTATTAATACTTTCAGATTCAATAAGATCTGCCAGTAGAGCGTTCCATGCACTAAAAACCCTGTTGTTTAAAATTTTTGTCGAGACCGCGATTTATACATTTCATGGGTTAGCTTTAATCGATGACCACGCAGATGCTCGTGATAGTTGATGTTAAACATAGTTGCTAAATCAGCAGATAAGTACCCATTCAGTATTTTGAAGGTCCACACCAGATCATTTTTACTTCTTCTTACGGAAAGACTATATAGCGATAATTCTTTTAGCCGCTGGGAATATGATTGATTCCGTAGTGTTTTAACCATTTTTGTCGCTCGGCGCTGGACTCTGTAAGTATTGTGCGATCCCAGTATAGTTTGTATTCGTGTTTTCAAGAAATGGAAATCGAATGTAAGTGTAATAGAGTGTCGTATCTAGGATTAATCTTTATGAATGATTTTGGCTCCGTTGTTGTGTCTAGCTTTGTAGTCAGTTTATGCCAGGATGCTACAGGATGTGCTCAATCGATTCGGGTTTTTCTTCACAAAGTCAACAAAAATCGTTTCTTATGTTTGGATCTTTGATTATATATTTTTTTCACCAGCAGTCATGAAGCATGCAAATCTCGACTTATTTAGAGGTAGCAAAGTTCAACTTTTGCGACCAAGGTTCAAAAAGAAGAATGAGGTTATGTACGAAATACTTGATGTGATTATTTCTTAAAAAATGAATAAATGTGTGCTACTAACATTACTTGAGTATACGCATGGTAGTTGATAGACAGTGGAAGATAAAATGATTAATAATATACTATACTTAGGTATGCACTTCTAGGTATTAATTATCTACTTGGTTTTGAACGACGAACAAAAACCCTTCTGCTTCGGCGTACAAACTTGATTTTTAAGCCAAATAAATAAGATTTTCTTGTTGATATGAGCTTCGTCTAGGTCTTTGAAGAATTTTCTACGCAATTGATTTTGTTTCGGCCCACTTCAGTGGTCAAGTTTGTGGAGAGTGTGGACTTCTTCGGTATTAGATGGATTTAAGCGTGTATAAGAAAATAACATGCTTCTGAAGTAACGACAAGTGCAATGGAAAGCAAAAATTCTTTTTCTCTCCAACAAACGTGATAGAAAAAAGAAGCAAAGTAATAGTTAATATACTGAAAAGATTAATAAACAATGAAGATCATCAACAACAAGTTTTGCTTCCAATTAAGTATATCTGAAAGCAAGTCGTACTTCAAACAACGCATAAATTCCGCATCTCAGTTAATGTGCCGCATCCAAAACATCGTTCGAGTTTAAAAATTATTACCTCAAAGACAAAGATCGTTGTCAAATACTTCTTCATTACAAAAATGATTTTAGAGCATAGTCTACAACTTTGCCGCTGATCGACTTTAAAAACTTCGAAAAAAACGTCGCATGTTAAAAATTTAAGTACACACCTTTTGTGCACGTAACAAAGAAAGATTTTTTGGTAGAAGTTTAAAAAGCCGAGTACAGTAAAAGTTACATTGTGAGAATATGTAGTGTTTGGTTATATTACAACTATACAAAATGTTGTATAGTATTTGAAATATGACGTGATAAAGAACCAAAAAACGCAATTTTAAAATTATGAAAATTCAAGAAATAATTCGATTTACTATGAAATTTTAATATATAAAAATCAAATTTTAACATGAATAGAAGCAGAATGACAAAAACTTTATGATAATTTGTGTAAGATTTATGTATCAACTTTTTCAGAAATCGGTAGGTTTTTGGGTAATTGGCAACACCGCCACCGCCGTGAATTCTCCCATTTAAATGCATTGCTTGCGGGTTTTGTGCTCTGCCAAGTGAAACCGAAACGGACTTTGACGAAGAATTTTTTGTTACTTAAAAATACCAAATTTAATATTTTGAAGACTATATAACAAAGAAATCTATGCGCCTGTTATCAAAATATTAATCATCCACATCCTGGCCTATTTATCACTACCAACAATTTTTATCGTTGTCACTATTACGGAAGAAAGTAAAATTGTTATGTAGCCAGTCAATAATATAACGGAAAGTGAGCGCACAAATGGAGCTATTTATATTTCTCGTGTATTTTACGCATATATTTTCGACCTATTTTCCAACGCGCCTAATTTAAGGTTCTATTTAAATCTATGTTCTACAAAATGTACGATCCACATTTATACGAGTACGAGCAGGTCTATTCCACAGATAATGCATGCTCCTATTGTATCGCGATTCATATGAATTTGTATATGGTGGTAACCCAAATTTGCCGCCAAAATTAGACATGTTAACAATGGTTTAAAAGGAGCCAAACATTCAAAATTTGATTTAAAATTGTGATCGAAGGCGTTCAAATACAAAGTAGTAACGCGTAAGGTTGGAAAAATGCAAATCAAACACAAAATATGGACGACAATAATTGTTTATTCCGAACCAACTTCAAAAACCCGCTCCAGTTCTCACAAATGAAATCAACTGTACCGAACCAATAAAAATATTTCAATATCACAAATTTAAACACACAAAGCAACAAGTGTTGTAGTGTTTAAAAACCACCAACATAGGAACAGGGACTTCAAATTTTCACCCAACTTTCTGCGTCGAGT